TTGCTCGTCTCCCTGCATAGAAATTCTTGACTGCTCGATCAGCATGATTGCACTCTCTTCGTGATAATATGCATATGTAGTGCTGCGAAATTTCTATTCCATGCGTAGGTCAATAGATATCGACGAAACTCGCACCCGTGAGTTTTTTTAGTAATGTGGGACATTTTTCAAACCCATGATCTTTTTCTAAAAAAATTGACACATTTTTAAATATTATTGAATTCATAAACATTTTTGAATATGCCACAGCCTCGTTTTTTCTAAAAAAATTAACATTTTTTGTTTTATTTATCCTATAAAATACTCTAAAATATATATTACAAAAATAATCTCCATAATGTTTTGAAAAATGTTGGCCAAACATTTAAAAAATTGCTAAATGTGTATAGAGAAAATGTTTGTTACATATACGAAAAATATATACAAGAAAATACAATGTGTATGAAAAAGAATTGGTCATGTATTTAAAAAATTTAATCAAGCATTTGATAAAACATGTTGAACAAGTATTTTTTTTAAATATGAATCAAGAATTTGAAAAATGTTAAATTTGTACAGAAAAAATGTTGATCAGGTATAAAAAAATGATGAAAAATATGAACTTGTATAAAAATGTTAATCAAGCATTTTGAGAAAAATGTTGAACAAGTATTTCCAAAATATTAATCAAGCATGTAAAAAATGTCAAATGTGTACAGAGAACATGTTAAGCATGTATTCAAAAATAAATTTCGTCTTTGAAAAAAGTTAATGTATAGAAAAAATATTGACCATGTATTAAAAAATGATAACCTTGTATTTAAAAAATGTTTAAATGTGTATGGTAAAATGTTGAGCATGCATTCAATTTTTTAGCCTTGTATATACAAAATGTTAATCAAGCATTTGATAAAAAATAACCGTGTATAGAAAAAATGTTGAAGAAGTCTTAAAAAATGTTAGTCACGTATTGGAATCTTTTTAATTAATAATTTTAAAAAATGTTAAACATGTGTTGAAACAATGTGTTAGATACATACAAAAAATGTGTGTAGAAAACAATTGAACCCGAGAGGAAACAAGAAAAATTGTCGAAAAATGAGAAAGAGACAAACAAAACCGAAGTAAAACAAAGAAAAGAAAAAGAAAGGAAAAAGGAATGAGAAATGGAAAAAATAATAAAGAAAAATGAAGAAAAGAAAGAAAATCCGGTAAAAATTGAGAAAAACCGAACAAAAACTGTTGAAAAAAATTTGGAATGTCGGCTCTTTTGTGAATAAGTAGGCAGCACCTAGTATTTAACATGAACTTGACACTTACCCAATGACCAGCTTCGCTACATATCATTGAGGATGCTTAGGATCGAATCCTGGGATCTTCTTTTTTTCTTCTCTTTTTTATTTCTTTTCAAGGTGCACTAACGGGCTGGTCCATTACTGTGGTTTCTTAAGGTGAGAGATCCTTCCTTTGCGCTTAATGCGAGATATAGCTCCCACACCCGCCTTGCGCTTTGATCACCCACGCAACCCCCCATAATCGCTCGCTAAGATATGGGCCGATCAATATCTATGACTTTTCATCTACCTTTCTTCCACTGGTTCGGGGAAGGATCTACAACCTTCCCGTAACAAGTTTTTTCTTCGGTTTTCTTGGTCGTTTTTTTCCATTTTAAAATTTGGAACAATTTTTAAATTCGAAAATATTTTTTAATTTCCTTTTATAAATATTTGCATAAAATATTTGAAATGGTGAAAATTTCAGAATCGATGTATTTTTTGAAATCATGAACATTTATTGAATCGGTAATCCTTTTTAATTGACTAATATTTTCAAAATTTTGGAAATAATTTTTTGAATTCCTATTTTTTAATATATGAACATATTTGGGATTCCGAACCTTTTTTGAATTCACAAATATTTGTGAATTTTGGATATTTTTTGAAATACCAGAGCATTTTCTAAATTCATAAACCTTTTTTAATATAGGAACTTTCTTTAAATTCATTAAAATGGTTTGAATTAATGGATCTTTTTTGTAAGTCATGATTTTTTTAAATCTTAGAACATTCTTCAAATTCTGAACATTTTTTAAAATTTAAGAACAACTTTTGAACTCCAAAAACATTTGTAAATTCCTGACTCTTTTTTTGAAATTTGTGATTTTTTTGAAAATTTTGTAGTGGTGAGCGTAATTGGAATTCATGTTTTTTAAATCCCAAATGTTAATAAAAACATAAATTGGAAAAACCAATTAATAAAGTAAGGAAAAAGACTGGGATGCCTCGTCCCGACGGGCCGGTCCAAAGTGCGGGTTCGCTGCGCCTGTGCTGCCCTATGTGCGCGAGGTTGGAGCCCGTTCTCTCATAGTGGCGGAGCGCGAGGTTGGCCATGGGCATTGTGTATCCCTTTTATCCAAAGTACTAGGCCAACTTATGGCCCACTATGCTTGGAACCGAGCCCTCCATATGATGCTATCAAATTTGGTGCAAATAGGTATTGAACTAAAACCATGGCACTTATTTCCGATCGGACGGAGTAGCATTGTAAGATCCATTAAAAAGGAGTAACATTATAAGGGTTTTCAACATTATGGCAATGAAATAGGTGCTTTGGATCATGGGATCCATGGAGCACCTTTAAAAAAAGGAAAGTAATAAAAATCTGACGTCAGCTTTCTAGGCATGGTAAATCTGACATTTTTCATGGCAATTTATGTTGGCCCGATGATGAAAAATTTAATTTGCAAGCACGGCAATTTTCTGACAAAAAATAAACCGAGGCAGAATTTTCGTGCTTGTCAACTAAACTTGCCATCCTTGAAGAACATAATTTCCCATGCTAAAAAATGACCTCAGATTTGTAGTGGAGTCAAAAAAAAAAAAGAAACAAAAATCAAATTTTAAAGTTGCAAAAAATCAAGAAAGCTACAAGTAGATATGGATGTATCCTACATGTGTACTCCCTCCATTCCAAAATACTTTGCATATGAGTTTTATTTAAGGGTTTGTCTAGGTCTCAGTCGACTGAGACTTCGCGAAGTCTCAGTCGACTGATGACATCAGCATATGTATATGACATCAACATCTGTACAAACCAGGCCTGCTTTGTTTATTGAACTGTTTGCATGTTTGTGCTGCTACGGGCTGGCTTTGTACTTCTACTGGGCTTTTATCTCATCTTTTCCCCTGTGATCTGTTGCTTTGTTGTCAGATTTTTTTCCTCTTTTTGTAGTTGGGATGTACGACTGCAAATATAATATGTATTTTGCTATCCAGCTACAACCTCAACGAGTGAGGTAAATTTTTTGTTCAAATCATAGCATTATTTTTTGCCGGAAAAAATCTTGTATATGCAATACGATGCATGCTTGTAGTGTTTTTTATATGGTCATGTAACTTATTGTCATTTTTTCATGATACAAAGTATTTGAACACAAAGAAAAGATATTGAAGAAAATAATAATAGTTTTGTGCTTGCTATTGCTTGCCCGCGAGCTATGAAGTTGTTGCCTGCTGTTGTTAAAGTACAGAAGGACAAAGGTCAAACACATAGGTATATACAGTATATACATCATTTTTGTTACACGAACAATTTTTTAAAAAGTGTGTGAGCATTTTCTAAAAATTACATGAGCATTTTTAAGAACCGTGAACAGCTTTCAAT